AGACAGTTTTGTGATTGTTTGACTCAGTATTGTTTGAGCGCGCGTCAAAGATGGACACCAGCAAAAAGAAAATACGCCATATTTTACAGTTTTTCTTCGATAAAGGCGAAAAACGCAAGCCAGGCGGCTGAAAATGTAAATAGTGTTTATGGTCCTGATACTGTAACAGCCAATCACGCGCAATTTTGGTTTCGTCGATTCCGTTCCGGTAATTTTGATGTCAAAGATGCACCACGCTCTGGAAGGCCAATTGTCGAAAATGTCGATAAAATAATGGAAATCGTCGAGTCCGACCGTCATGTAAGCACTGTTTCGATTGCCCAGGAGCTAAACATTGCACAAAAAACCGTTTGGAACCACTTGAATAAGACTGGATACAAAAAGAAGCTCGATGTATGGGTGCCACACGAGTTAACGCAAAAAAATCTCATGGACCGAATTTCCATCTGCAAATCGCTGCTGAATCGCAACAAAATCGACCCATTTCTGCAGCAAATGGTGACTGGTGATGAAAAGTGGGTCACTTACGACAACGTCAAGCGAAAACGGTCGCGATCGAAACGCGGTGAGCCGGCGCAAACGGTGGCCAAGCCAGGATTGACGGTCAGGAAGGCTTTGCTGTGTGTTTGGTGGGATTGGCAGGGAATCATCCACTATGAGCTACTCCCCTACGGCCAAACTCTTAATTCGGACCTGTACTGTCAACAATTGGACCGTCTGAAGGAATCAATCGCCCAGAAGCGGCCAGCTTTGGCCAATAGGAGAGGAATTGTGTTCCATCAAGACAACGCCAGGGCACACACATCGATAGTGACTCGCCAGAAGTTCCGGGAGCTTGGTTGAGAGGTTCTTATGCATCCTTATAGTCCGGACCCGGCACCAAGTGATTACCACCTGTTCCTGTCTATGGCGAATGATTTTGCTGATGAAAAATTCTCCTCAAAAAAGCTTGTGAAAATCGACTGTCTCAGTTTTTTGCTAATAGGAACAATGGTTTCTATGAGAGAGGCATAATGGAATTACCTTCAAAATGGCAACAAGTTATCGAACAAAACAGTGCATACTTGACCTAAATTGGATCATTTTAACTATGTTAAATAAAGCCTTCAATTTCATGCAAAAATAATGGATTTCTTTTTATTACACCTTATATTTCCTCTGCTTTTCAGAGCTCTTCTCGTAAGCCTACGGGTGAAAAGAGAGGGGCAACCCCGAATATGAGTGCAAATTAAAAAAAAACCAGAAACGACAGGGGGTGGGAAAAGTGAGGAGGAAGACGCAGCAGCGTCGCCGGCGACCGTGCAACCACCGCACGGGGCAGGGCTGTCCATCAGCCCTGTGGGACTCATACAGTGGTCCACGCCGAAGAGGGGAAGAGATCCGAGACCAATTTCCAAGGACTTCCCCTGGTGCGCTCTGCAGTACGGGCGGACCGGCGCGCCGAACAAGGTCGCGTACCCGGTCTGGTAACCAGGCTTGAGCCGAAGATCAGGTTCGGACGGCTGCCAGCCCGGAAAGGACCCGTTCGGCCTCGCGAGGCATAGAAGGAGGAGGGCATACTAGGTGGCGGAACGCCGTGCGTTCGAGATCTGCGTATCTTTTTCGTTCCAGAAAGAGAAAAATATCGAGAGCGCGGTCCTGCTAGGCCGGGATTCGAACCCGGGTCTTTCGCTTGCCGGACGACTGCTCTAAACCACTGAGCTACCTGACGTTCCATGCTCACGACATTTTCTTCTTCCTAGATAACGCTCAGAAATGCCGTTCGGAAACGACATCTCTGGCGCGATCCCGAGCGCACTACAGAGAGAAACAATGTTATTGTACCAAATGGTACAGCTGTCAGTCTCTCAAAGTCAAAGGTTGCTATCCTTTAAGACCTGCTGTCCATGTATGCCCGTCTCCACCGTTGCCCCTCCTCATCCGGGGCAAATAATACAAATAAGCCCCGAGGTCGACACCAATTTTTTGGCAGCCCCCGGGTGCTTGGACGCAATGCGCCATGGGGGATCCACCATAGAAGGAGGAGGGCCTCGCGAGGCAGCTCCCGTGGCCGGAAGAGCCTTCCGAGGGTCCCGTCACCGGGACAGTGCAAGAGGGGAAGGGACGACTCGGCAGGCAGCCGACCGTCCTCTATAGAGTGGGCGGTGGCTGAGAACGGGCCGCCGGAGGTCATGGCGGTGGAGGAGGAGGCGGGGATACCGGTCTCCCCGGAGACCACCGCCGGTGGGTCTTCCTCAACAGTCGGGGACCCGCTGACCTCCAATCTCACCCCCGAGACATCGGGAGTGACAAAACAGGGTTGGCCATGCAAGGACCCCTCTCATGAGGGGAAATTCACGGCCGACCAGATGGCCATGAAAAAAGAGGCTATCAAGGAAAGGAAAATGGCTAAGGTGACACAATATGTCGCCGATGAGGCCAGGAAGCCTTATAGCTCCACGGTGGACAGGGTCCAAAAGACAGCGGAAAGACTGGTCCGCGACCATAGGGCCCTGGCAACGGTATATAAATCGGTGGACACCGTAATGAAGGTGGCTCAAAAGTCCGACAATATTAAGGGCTTCCTCCTGGGCGAGCTGTGGAGAACAGCCGAGGAGCTCTCGGCCTGTGGTACCACGCTCGCCATGAGGGCCCAGAGGGTTGCCAAACAGCCGGAGTCCGTGACTGACTCCGCGATGAGGGAGAGTGAGGCCCTGTTGAGGCGGATGCTTGACGAGCTTAGCTCACAGAACCGCCTTCTCAAGGCCAGAATCGCGAAATTGGAGGAGGCCGAGGGTGTGGTGGCGTCTTCCTTCCTAAGAGAAAAGGGCGGCTGCGCCTTTTGCCGAGTGCCCACCGGCCGCAAGAGGTCGACGAGGGCGGTGAGATCGGGCTCCTCCTCTGAGGAGGAGGTAGCCCATAGGAGTAAGAGGAGGGGCGGGGTGATTCTTCTGCCTAGCTCCCCTTTCCAGGGGGAGATGACGCTCCCATGGAGGTGGAGATGGACAGCGGGACTCGTGACCCCCGATCCGTCCCTCCACACCATGTGAGCGACGAGGAGGGGGGAGGGGGACACCTCGGGGAGAAGCTCGACAAGGACCGGAGGGACGGCAAGTTCTCCCTCCGGCCATCAGGTCTCCTCTCGGGGGAAAGACTGTCTCCCTCCCTATAGGTAAGGGCAGACAAAAGGCGGCCAGCAACAGTCACAGGGGCCGGGGCGTGTACTGCGCCAACAACAGCCTCGGCCCAAACAGGAAGGGCGAGCTGCTGCCCCTCCGCTTCAGCAGGAGCGACAAAGGAGGCAGTTAGAAAGAGGGCGATAGCAGCGGCAACGAGTGGCATTCAGTTGGACACAGCACAATTGGACACGTTGCAAATGGACATGGTGCAAATGGACACGGCACTTGACACGGTTCAATTGGACACGGTGCGTTTGGACACGAAACTTTTGGGCACCGTTGTTTTTGGACACGAAAGAAAATGCACGACGTTCAGTTACACACCGTTCATTTGGACACCGTTCAGTTGGACACAGTTCAAGTGCCCACTGTTCACTTGGACACAGAAGGATGCTCACTGTTCACTTGGATACCGTTCACTTGGACACCGTTCATTTGGACACCGTTCACTTGGACACCGTTCACTTGGACACCGTTCAGTTGCCCATTGTTCACTTGGACACAGAAGGATGCGCACTGTTCATTTGGACACCGTTCACTTGGACATCGTTCAGTTGCTTGCTGTTGGACACAGAATGATGTGCACCTTTTATTTTATCATCATTTAATTATGTATCGTTTGTTTATGCAATGGATATGCAACTGATGAGAAATAAAAAATAGTTTTGTAGAAAATATTTGTGTTTTTATTTCGTTTTTATCACATCCAACCACAACGCCATATGCCTAGAGATATTCTAGAGACTCTATAAACAACGACATATGATTGGATGTGTCCGTTTGTCAATGTGCGCATCTGGGACTCACTCCGATTTTCGTACTACTATTTATGATGTAGAGTGTAAATTGTGGTTTGATAATTATTTAGTTTAGCGGCAACACCTCCGATTTCGATGATAATAGACTCAATCGACACATTTTTGTATGCCAAACAACTTTTTCCTCTGACAAAATCGTCGCTCTTTATTGCGAAGCGAAATATTAATAGATAAAGTTGAGGGCGTGTTAGGTTAGAAAATCTATCATATCATTTATCTCTAGTTATGTAACTGGGGGGCTTCGTCTCCCAGACCTCCCTATCACGGGGGGTGGGGGCTATACTCTCTTGTGCTTAAGCTAAAAACCCCCCCCCCCCCCGATAAAGTTTGTCGAGGGGGGGGGGAGCCGGCTACGTTGCGGTCGAGTGGAGGCCCATGGATGTGGTCGGGTGTTATGCCCCGCCCTCCTGGACCCGCGCCGAATTCGGGGCACTCCTGGACCGGCTGGAGGCGCTTATAATGAGGCGCCTCCCTAGGCCGATCATCGTCTCTGGGGACTTCAACGCCCACAGCACGGGGACGTGCCCCTGTGGCGCGGACCTCCAGGAGTGGGTTGCGTCTGCCGGCCTCAGCTTGCAAAACAGGGGCCGGGAGAGCACCTTTGTCGGGTGGCAGGGGGAGTCCATCGTCGATCTGACGTGGACCTCCGCCGCGGCCGCCCGACAGGTTCAGGGATGGAGGGTGGCGACTGAGGCGGAGACCGGCTCTGATCATCGGTATATAGAGCTCTGCCTCGTCGTCACCCGCCGGGAGGTGCTCTCAAGGCGCAGCAGCGGGCTGACCCGACTGTCAAGGTGGACGTTAACCTCGCTCAACCGCGACAAATTCGTGGCCGTCATTTGCGCGGCCAATTGGGATGAAGCGAGACCCGTAACCGTGTTCCGCGAGTCCATTGGGGGGGGG